AACCTAGGGGATAAAGGGAAAGAAGGAGCTCAAGAGAGGTAGGACCATAGGAGAAGGGTATTAGTAAGGGAGAAGGGGGGAAATGGGGGCACCTTAAGTGGGAAAACCATGATGGAGAGTGAGACAATGTGAGAGATAAACAATGCCTATCTAGTTTTGAAAATCAGAGGGAACCATATTACTCCTACAACCTACTGACAAATTATACATAGCAGATCAAGAAATATATGTTTAAGTAAGGTTTATCTGAGAACAACTGGTCTTTGCTCAAGATTTATCTACAGGACACACAGTAATTAAAAATACCCGACTGTTGGAACTAACCTTCTTGAGTGTTTAACAGACATACTTTGAGGCCTATAATAATTTGGCCAGTGGGACATAAAGGACAGTCTTTGCTCCTTGCCCTCCTAGGTTGACTAGTTCAAGGGGACTATGAGCATCTCTCAAAATGCCTTATAATGGTGGTGGGTCACCTGTCCTCTTGATCAAGGAGGCTGAGGATACCCCACCAGATATACTTGAACCAGTTTCCAGTCTACAAAGAGGAGGGTCAACACAGAGGAATCATTTCCTCCATGCTTCCAAGTGAAGCCAACCGTGGTTGAGCAGGACCTTTGACTTATCTTCACATAGGCCGAACTGATAAAAGAAAGGAGTCGGGCTCCTCCCAAGCCCATGTGACCCTGAGGAACAGATCCTCCAGTGACCTTAAGAGTAAAAATAAATCGGTTTATCTGGACCAACTTTATCCTTAAACACCCAAAAGGAAAGCATAACCAAAGATTAAATGGGCCAACATAATTTCATAAGAGCCATATGTATAGCTAAAGGCTACATAACAACAGTGCCAGTTAAGTGACACCTTCTTTTGCATTGTTGGCCAGGGTGGCCAAAGGGATTCCCAGATAGCAAGCCAGCATAGAACTGGGAAAATGAACAGCAGATCCCAGTCTTATCCAAAGGAATATAGGCAACTGATTACCGCTAGATGAGGAACAGCTGACCCTCCTAAAACAAAGACCTCTAGATAGGCTGACTAGATTCACCAGAAGGGCAAGTAGTGGGGAATGGCTCGGGGTACCCACAACACAGTAGACAGTAGCAGGGATATCAGAGTATAAGGGCTGTAGTGGGGGGAGGGAGGCTATGGGAGGGTGCTAATTAGTAGAGGTGAAAAATACTACCATTAAAATCTACCTGATGACCTTATATCCATGCTCAGGTGCCAAGGATCTCAGAAAGTAACCGACTCTGACTAGTAATACTCAGGTACATAGAGATTAGAGATGCATATGCAAACATCTAAGTGTTGGTAGCATTAAAAATGATATTGTTTTCTGTATGAAACAATATATTTTAAAATGAAATGCAGATGTTTCTTAAAGGTTAAAACCTCATTCAATTTTATGTCTTATGGGCTTTATACAGAGTTCAATATTGTATAACTGTATTAATTCAACTGTGAACCTAAAAATTTACAGTCAATTTTGAAAGAGATATATCTTAGCTCTGGAAATTGTTATTGAATATGTCAATGCTGTTGTAATGAAATGCTTCTTCTAATTATATGGTTATTAAATAAATGCTTTAAAAAAAAAAGACCAGGGAAGGAAAAATCCACTAAAAAAAAAGGAAAGAAATTAGTGAAGGAGATGGCATGCCAAACAGGAATTAACAGTGTGGATATAAAAAGATATGGGGGCTGGAGAGATGGCTCAATGGTTAAGAGCGCTGGCTGTTCTTATAGAGGACCTGGGTTTGGTTCCCAGCACCCACATCAGTCTATAACTCCAGTTTGAGGGGATCTGACACCCTCTTCTGACCTCCTCAGGCATTGCATGACATAGGTGCACTTACATGCATTCAGGCTGTACACTCATACCCATAAAATAAAACTAATGAATAAGTTTTTAAAAAAAGAGGTATGTACGGAGATTATGGAGTACTGTTAAATGAAAAGACTGTGGAGTTAGGGAGAAGGTCTGGTGAGATAATGAGTGGACACATTAAAGGCCTTGAAAGTGAGAGTGAGTAATTAGGATGTGTGATTGACTAGCTTGTCTTTGCAGTAGAATGGTATTAAGAGAGAGTTTAGAAGTGATAGGCAGGAGGAAATGAAAGGTAATTCAAACAGGAGTCTATTGTAGCAGTCTATGGCTACATTAATGGGACATTAGAAATAAAGATAGAGGCATAGAAGACATATTTTCACTGAAAGAGACTTGGTCATTAGCATATGTGCAACACTTTTAGTGAGTGAAGGATTGAGACAGGAAATACAGAGAAGAAAAAAAAGTAGTGGTCCCTTCTCTCTGTATATCTTTGCAGTTTTTTCTTTCTGTGTGTGTTTTGAGACAAAGTCTCTCATGAAGCCCAGACTGGCTCTGAACTACAAATCTTCTTGTCTGTACTTCCAGAGTACTGGGATTGCCAACCCCAGATCCTTGCATATCTTGAGAGATACATAATATTAATAAAAGATGGATAGATTTTTAAAAATCTAGCTAGGGGTTCACCATTTAGCTTATACATACGGAATCTGAAGTTGATAACAATCCTGCAAGTGGAAGTAGTCTTCTCAGTAATTGAATCTGTGGTTTAGGAGCTTAGTCAATTAATTTAGGGCCAGCGATAGTGATTAATGATCCTCAAGGCTCAGGGATTATTGTGAAAGAGGGAAAGGAAAGATTGTAAGAGCCAGAGGTGGTAGATGAATATAAAGAACCTATGTTGTCTGGATATAACAGGGTGGTTGCACATATGAACCCACAATGCTTGTGACAGCATACATAGGACCTGCACAAGCCCACCCCAGACAAAACTCCAGCATAGATGGGGGAAATGGGCAAGAAGCCCCAGCCCTAACCGAGGATCTGTTGGTAATTGATAGCTGCTGGGAGAGGGAGAGTCAATTTTCTATAGGTATATGGTTGACCAGATTCCAAGGGATAGGCCCACACCCAAGAGCATTTGGGGAATATAAATTAGACTCACTAGGCCTTTAAAAAAAAAAGAAAAGTAACAGAGGACACGAAGTGGGGTGTATAGTAGAGTAGGGTGGAAATGGTTGAAGGAGGTGATTTGAGGGAGGGAGTCTGAATTTGATCAAAATATGTTGTATGAAATTCTTAAAGAATCAATAAAAAAACATTTTTAAAAGGTATATGCATATTTGACCCTTCATATCTATGGACTTTGAATTCACAGATCCAACAAACTATGGTAGAAAATATGAAATTAATTGTCTCCATTTTATATATATATGTAACTTTTTTTGTTATTGTTTTCCAAGCAATGTAACAACTACTTACTTACATTGTATACATAATTTATTCTAGAGATGATTTAGAGTATAAAAGATGATGTATATAGATTATATGCAAATATTAAGTCATTTTGTATGAGACTTGGGCATTTGTAGATTAAAGTGTCTTTGAGGAGTCCTAGAACCAAATCGACCATGATAATAATGAGAGCAAACTGTGTGTATACATATGTGTAACATATACGTACTTAAAGACACTTTAAAAATAATTTTTATTTTATTATTGTGTATTTATGTGTGGGTGTGGGTGTATGACATGTGGGGATACACATACTATGGCATGCATGTGGAGGTCAGAGGGCAACTTTGTGGAGTCCAGTCTCTTACTTTTAAGGGGTTCTGGGGACCAAATTCAGGTCAGCAGGCTTGCGTAGCAGTGCTTCATCCACTGAGCCATCTCACAGGCTCAGACTTTGTTGTTGTTGTTGTTGAGATAGAGTCAGGCTGGCCTTGAGCTTGTAGCAGTCCTCCAGCCTTAACGTCTTAGAGTGCTGGGATTACAGGTGTGAGCTACCATATGTAGCTCTTTCAAGGCCCTTTCTTCTGAGGGAGTATCTAAAGGGAAAGTTAGATGATCAATAAATACTCTTCAGAAAATAACAGATATTATTTAGTGTTTAGGTTTTACTCATTGATTTTAACTTCTTTAATTTGAGCAGCATATTTAAAAATAGCCAATAACCTATATTTGAACAAAATTGTTTAGAAATAATTTAAAAAATCAACATGTTTTGATATTTTGATTTGGTTATAAAACTAGACTACTTTAATTCATTGCAACTTTTCCTAGATTGCCGTGCTAAGGAGACAGCAACGTATGATAAAAAATCGAGAGTCTGCTTGTCAGTCACGCAAGAAGAAGAAAGAGTATATGCTTGGGTTAGAGGCAAGGTTAAAGGCTGCCCTTTCAGAGAACGAGCAGCTGAAGAAAGAGAATGGGTCACTGAAGCAGCAGCTGGATGAGGTTGTGTCCGAGGTGAGTGCCAGGGATGCTGCTGGCTGAGATCGGGGAGACTGATTTTTTTTTTCTTGATAAGTAAATGTATAAATTTTTGCATCTTAAATTGTGTAAAGTAGCAGTACTAAAAGAAAGGGGATACAGTAAGTCCAAAAACATTTTCAGTAAGGAAGAGATTATAGCAATGAGCTTTGGAGGATTTTTTTTTTTTTCTCCTATGGGGCTGAGAATTGAACCCTAGGGCCTCCAGCATGCTAAGTAAGCCTTATAGCACTGAGCCACACTCCCAGCTCAAGAGGTGACCTTTTGAATTATACTTTCAGGCTACATTTAAAAGCTGTCTCCTTTTATTTGGTTTCTTCTAATTCATTTCCTGAGTGCTCTCTTTTCTTTGACTAAGTGAGTAGTCCTGTCAACTCTTCCCTTTTATTATTATTCTTTTTAATTTTTTTAAATTAAAATTTTTGTTTTGTTATTTTGAGCACACTCTTACTACATAGCCTTGGCTAGCCTGGAACTTAAATGTATACGGGCTAGACTTGAATTTGTGCGATCCTCCTGTCTTGCCTTCAAAGTTCTGGGGTTACAGGTGTACATTACCATACTGGATCAGGTCATTCCCTTAAAAAAAAGAAAATAATACAAAATAAATGGTGTTTTGAACCTTTTGTCTACCTACTTGGCCACTGTCATGCTTCTTCGCTTTCCTTGCTAAGCTGCTCCCAGAGAGGTGAATCCCAGTTGTGTTCATGAAGCCTGCAGCTTTCAGGATTCTCCTGCTGCGTAGTCCTGAACCAAATGGATACCTAATGAGTGCATATTCTTTCCATAGAGCTCCTGAGCACTGCGGAGACACATGTGTACCTCAAAGACAGGGAGACAAGCTACACTAGTGTCTCAAAATTCTTGGGAGTCCATAGAAACATAAAACTGAATTCTCTGGTATATTTTTCACTTTTTTAAATCTCTTTTCTCTTCTCCCTCTGTTGGAAAAGAGAATGTAGAAGGCTTTATAGTCTTTTGAAAAGTACTATTTATTTACCTTTGAGGTTTTTAAATGAATAAAGGTAAACAGAAGAATATTTAGTTAATGCTTTTTGTAACATTGATATATAGTTTTATCATATTCCATATGATCATTTTCTTTAGAACCAGAGGCTTAAAGTCCCTAGTCCAAAGCGGAGAGCTGTCTGTGTGATCATGATATTGGCATTCATAATGCTGAATTATGGACCCATGAGGTAAATACCTAATTTTTTTGGATACTAATGCTAAAATTTAAATGCTAGTTATTTGTTATTATTTAGCTCTACTCATAAGCAAGAGGAAAATGGATTTGTTTTTTAACAAAATCAGCACCCCAGGTATGTAAAGCATAATTGGACAGGAGCCAGGCCTTCACAGAGCTCATGATCCAGGTTTCATGAGACCTGTTAAGGGATGACTGGTGTCATGTGATGACTGTGGTGATAGCAGCATGAGCAGAATGCTGACAGAATGCAGCTGAGAATATGTGTGCTGAAAGGCATGACTGATGGCATGTCAAGAGGTATACAGAACAGTTTCTAGTTGAGTGACTGAGTGATAAGGAATTCCCTTCTGAGGAATCTGAACTGTGAATTATGATACTGGTTTGGTAAGTGGGAAATGTGGGAAAGCATGTCAAATGGGAGTATAGCATGTTTAAAACATGCTTATAAAGTGACTTGGCACTTTTTTTTTTTTTCCATCTTTTTGAGACAGAGTCTCCCTGTAGCCCCAGCTGTCTTGGAGCTTACTATGTAGACCAGGCTGGCCTTGAGCTCACAGAGATCCTCCTGCCTCTGCCTCCCAAGTGCTGGGATTAAAGGCATGTGCCACCACGCCCAGCTGACATGGCACTTAAAAAAAAATGTGAGTTCAGTTTGTATATGTACATATATATATTTGTCTTGTACATATATAATTTTAAAAATCATAAAATTGTTATTACATAAAAGGTATAATATTCAGAGTGCTTTCTCACTTTATGTTAGCACATCATTCTCTTTTAAAAGCTACATAGTTTTAAGTATGACCATAACATGTGGCAGATCTCAAATTTTGGGGCTTAGGAACCATTTTATACCCTTAAAAGTTACTGAGACTCCCAGAAAACTTATATTTATTGATATTTATTGTGCTACAGATTAAAATAGATTTAAATATTTGTTCATTATATGTTAACATAATTATATGTTCAAATCTCCAAAATATTTAATGACACAGAGGGTGTGGCATTGTTTTATGTTTTTTTCAAAAATATTTGGTGTTTAACTGACTAGAAATTACCAGGTCTTCATTACTGTTCTTTATGCAGTCTGTTGTCATGTATTGCTAGGCTTGAAATAAATGAAGAAAATTCAGACTCTTGTGTGAGAGAGTAGGATTTGGGGGATCCTTAGGGCTCCTTACACTGCTCAGAATTCCAGGGCACACCTGTAGGTCTTGTGCTGTATTTAATCGTACTCCCTTTGATGAACATTCAAGTTATTTCCAATTATGTATAGGTGTGCATATGTGTATCTGCATATCTGTATGTGCCTGTATAGAATGCATTCTATATCTTTGTGTGTGTATGTATATGGTAGAATCTGCCCTGGACTTTGAAAGTGTGAATATTGTGATAGAGTCTGTCACCTTGCATTTCAGAAAGAATGTACTAATAGATATTCCTACTGGCAGGTGAAGGAAGTATTGTATTCCATCCTTCGCATATTTCCTAATATTGGGTAATAGGAATGCTTTGCCTTTTTTTAAAAAAAATATTTGTCTACCTTCTGGGTCAAAAATGCTGTCTTTACTGCTGCCTGGCTTCCTTGGCCTTCCTGAGATATACTAAGCATGTCCTACTTCAGCCTTCACATTTGTTACTCATGCAGCTTTCTATGCTTTTGCCTCAGAGAATCTTCTGTCAGGTGTTAACTCAAAAGCCACCCCACCCAGGTTTTCCTGATTATCTCTCTCTACATCACCATGTGTGCTCTGTCAGCATACCTCCATCCTCTTCTTTTAGTTTTTAACTAGCCCATCCTATCTCTTGGTATACTATATCCCCTATTAGCTTTATTTAGAATTTTATTTCTCATTTATCAGTGCCTAGAATAATGCCTGGCACATAGTGTGAATGAATGACTGAGTAACCCCCCCCCCCGTTAAAATACATTCTTAAAACCACTGGAAGATGTAACTCAGTGGCAAAGTGCTTGACTAGCATGCACGAGACTCTCATGCAGGTCCTGTCCACCCCCCAGTTCTTTTTCAATTGCTAGTTGTATTTCCCCTTTAAAAATGACTTGCAGTCTTGTGAGATAACCAGCCCTAAGTGACACATCTACAATGCAACCTTTATACCTAAGGCTTAGGGAATATTGCGGAAGAGGGGGCCAAAAGAATGTAAGAGCCAGAGGGATAAGACACCTGCTGCTAGTTAGTGCATTCTAGACATGTTAGGGAAGCTATACCCATGAAATCTCTATAGTATGGTAGTCTAATAAGATCTGCACAGTGACAAAACCAGTTGACATGTCAAGGTGGATGGGGAAATTTTTTTTGGAGTTCCACCTCAAGATGAAGAGCTACAGGCAATCAGTGGATGCTGAGGGAGAATCTGTTTTCTCTAGGGACTAGCTCCCAAGGTTATCTAATTCCAAATGGGCAGCCCTAAACACAGGTGCACATGAGTACTACTAAAAGGACTCAGTGCATTGTGTGTGTGTGTGTGTGTGTGTGTGTGTGTGTGTGTGATGTGCATGTATATTTATAAATGTATGTATGTATATGTAACAACAATAATAAAGGACAAGAAATTGAGAGGGAGTGGGGGACATGGGAAGACTTGGGGGACTAGGAGGATGGAAATAATGTAAAGACAATACTCATATATGAAATTCTCAAAAATTAAATATTCCCAGATGGCACCCTCCCATAGCCTCCCTCCTCCCACTACAGTGCTTATACTCTGATATCCCTGCTACTGTCTGCTGGGTTGTGGGCACCCCCAGCTATTCCCCACTACTTGCCCTTCTGGTGAATCTAGTCAGCCTACCTAGAGGTCTTTGTTTTAGGCGGGTCAGCTGTTCCTTTTCTAGCAGCAATCGGTTGTCAATATTCCTTTAGATAAGATTAGGGTCTTCTGTTCATTTTCCCAGTTCTATGCTGGGTTACTATCTGGGAGTCCCTTTGGTCACCCTGGCCAACAACTCAAAAGAAGGTATCTCCTATCTGGCATTGTTGCTTGTTATGTAGCCTTTAGTTATGCCTATGGACTCTTAAGAAATTATATTGATCCCTTTAATCTTTGGTTATGCTTTCCTTTTGGATGTTTAAGGCTATACAGTTGGCCTTAAATAAACCAATTTATTTTTACTTTTAAGGTCTTTTGAGAATCTGTTCCTCGGGGTGACATCTGGGGAGTGGGTGTATAGTTGAATAAGATGGTTTGGGATGTTCTGTGTGATAAACACACACACACACACACACACAAAATCAACAAATTTTTTAAAATGTATATTGTATTTGAAGAGGAAGCATGGAAATTTATGTCATGCTAATTAGTAGATAAACATTACCATTGAAATCTACCCGATGACTTCATAGACATACACAAGTGCCAAGGATCCAAGTGCAACCGATTATGACTAGTAATAATCAGATACATACAAATTAGAGATGCATGCTCCAACATCTCAGTGTTAGTAGCAAAAACAACAACTCTTTCTGCAAGGAACAATATATTCTAAAATGAAATGGAGATCTTTTTTTAAAGGTTAAAAAACTCATTCAATTTTATGCCTTACAGGGCTTATACTGAATTCAATATTGTGTAACTGTATTAACTCAACTGTGAACCTAGAAACTTGCACCCACGTGTGAAAGAGATGTACTCTTGCTCTGGAGTGTGCTACTGAATATGTTAAACCTATAGTGAAATGTTTCCTCTAATCATGTAGTTATTAAAACAGGTGTGGTGGCACATGCCTTTAATCCCAGAACTTGGGAGGCAGAGGCAGGTGGATCTTTGTGAGTTCGAGGCCAGCCTGGTCTACATAATGAGTTCCAGGGGCTACAAGGAGACCCTGTCTCAAAAAGACAAAAAAATTAAAAAAATAAAATAAAAATTAAAAGTTAAAAATGAAAAAATTACTTGCAGTCTCGATAAAAAGAATCCTTTTTGCGTGAGTTGCTATAAATCCACTTGCATACATTAAATCTGCACCTAGTATTTAGTCACAAATGACTGCTAGCTGTACTCTTCGTATACTTACTAGCTCCTGCTTCTGTACTGTGTGTACCCCTCTCCTCAGCTAAAGAACTTCCTTCTGGCTTTCAACTTACATCTTATGTTTAATTTATGATTCCAAGAATCTCTCCCCACTGACATTCTTGGCATTGTTTTTATTCGGTCACTTTTCACCAGTTATGTAATTTGTCATAGACATTTTCTTCCACTTAATGAGGTCTTGCTTTGTCATATTATTTTTTCTTATGCATATTTTATCCAGCTGTAAGATCTCAATTCATGTCCAGTTCACTAGTTTTCTCCTGTAGAGATAACACAGTGCTGATCCTAGGGCACATGCATAT